CAGTCACCGGGTCACAGCCGCTCCTTAGTGGCTATGTCCCGGCGATCGGCGGCAAACAGTGACAGAGAGCACAGCTGCAGTAGCTGTGCTGTCTGTCACTTCCCTGACAGCTCGAGGATGAGCTGATCAAGAAAGAACAGTTTTTCTTTCTCGATCAGCCTTGTCCTGCCCAGCACACACCCCCGCACCCTAGTAAAACACTCCCCTCACTCCTATAACCCTTCCCTGCTAAATAAAGTTAACCCCTTCCTCCCCATTGCCATTAGTACAGTGTCAGTTTTTTTTTTTTTTGCACTGATCACTGTATTAGTGTTTTTGGGGATGTCAGTGACCCCAAGTCAGTACCCCCCAATGTCAAAATGTCCGCCGCAGTCCCGCCATAAGTCGCTGGTCGCTGCCATAAGCTCCTGATCGCCGCCATAATTCGCTGAACGCCGCCATTATCAGTATAAAAAAAACCCTAAAAATCCCAGTATCTTTCCCGCCGTTTGTAAACGCTATAACTTTCACGTAAACCAATTAATTTACACGTATTGGGTTTTTTTTTTTAGCAAAGACATGTCACAGAATGCATTTTGGCAGAAATTTATGACTAAATTTGATTTTTGCATTTTTTTTTTACTGGACATGTTTTATAGCAAAAAGTCCAAAATATTGTTTTTTTTTTTCCTCAAAATTGTCAGCCTTTTTTTTTTATAGTGCAAAAAATAAAAACCGCACAGGCGATCAAATACCATCGAAAGAAAGCTCAATTTGTGGGGGAAAAAAGGATGTAAATTTCATTTATGTACCATATTGCATGACCGCGCAATTGTCCGTTAAACTAGCGCAGCACTGTATAGCAGAAAAATGGTGTAAATTGCAGTATTTATACCATAGTTTGTAGACGCTATAACTTCCACAAAAAGCAATCAATATACACTTATTGGGATTTTTTTTACCAAAAACATGTAGCAGAATACATTTTGGCCTAAATTTATAACCAACTTTGAGTTTACTATATATTTTTTATAGCTGAAAATAAAAAATATTGTTTTTCTTCAAAATTTTTGGCCTTTTTTTGTTTATAGCGTGAAAAATAAAAAGCGCACAGATGATCAAATACCACCGAAAGAAAGCTCTATTTGTGTGAAAAAAAGGACGTAAATTTCGTTTGGGTGCAGCATTGCATGATCGCGCAATTATCAGTTGAATTAGTGCAGCGCCAAGTAGCAAAAAGAGGCCTGGTCATTAAGGGGGGTAAATCCTCAGGAGCTCAAGTGGTTAAGTAAACATTCTTGGAGCAATTACAATGTTTGGAAAGGCACAATGTCCCCCATCCCCCAGGCACACTAATGCTTACTTGAGCCCAGGGTCAGACTGACCATTCGGGGTCAGTAGGGGGCCCGGTGAGAGGCTCACTGGGCACAATTCACTATCTTACTGCTTCCGAGTATGTGGTAGGATACCGCAGAGCATTTTTTAGAAAAAAAAAAAGTTTGAATTCACAAAAAAAAAGCTATTAAAATACCGCATTAGTTATTTTATCAAGTCATGCGGTATTTTAGTAGTGAAAACCATGCGTTAATGTTTCAGCTGTCAGTGGGATTCCCCACTGAGAGCTGAATGTAAAAGAAAGAATTGCCGGCAATTAAAAAACTAATTAAAAAGGTGTGGGGTCCCCCCCTCCATCCCTACCAAGCCCTTTGGGTCTGGTATGGATTTTTTTCAAAACGTTCGGTCTTTTTTTGTTAATTTATCAAAAAATTAAAACCCCGGCGGTGATTAAATACCACCAAAAGAAAACTCTAGTTGTGTGAATAAAATGATAAAATTTTAGTTTGGGTACAATGTTGTATGACCGCGCAATTGTCATTCAAAGTGTGAGAGCGCTGAAACCTGAAAAATGGCCTGGGCAGGAAGGGGGTAAAAGTGCCCGGTATAGAAATGGTTAATAAAGGACTTGACAAATACTGTCTCCTGTCTTTTGTTACACTACACTTTTTGTTTTTTTATGACTGCCAGGCTGCATGCTCAGATAAGGGTCTGGTATGGATTTTGGGGGGGGACCCCCATGCCATTTTTTAATTTTGGCGTGGGGCTTCCCCTCAAAATCCGAACCAGACCTGAAGGGCTTGGTATGGATGGGAGGGGGGACCCCCACACCATTTTTTTTGTCTGTTTTTTTAAATTGTCGTCAATTTTTTTTTATATTCATCTGTCAGCTGCAACATGAACGCATGGTTTTCACTATTTCACTACTAAAAGGCTGCATGACTTGATAAAATAACTGATGCGGTATTTTAGTAGCGTTTTTTTAGGGAATGCAAACTTTGTTTTAAAAAATGCTCTGCGGGATCCGACCGCTTACTTGAATGCAGTAAGATACTGCTTAGTGAAGTGTTCCCATTCTGTGACTTAGCCCAAAGGGCATGGTAACAAGCCAGATATCTCAAATGTGGCACAAATGTTGTGCTATGTTGCTAATTCAGATGTGTGTTGGTTATATGTATCCCAATACAAAGGACTGCAATACTAATATTGTGCTATCTGTACTAAAATCATAGTGAAAAAAGCTTTAAAGGAAAAAAAAAAAAAAAAAAAAGAGAGAGGGTGACAGCACTATTGCAAAGTGACACAAACATTGACAGGGGTAAACACATTTTGGGGGATAATATTGTGAACATTTGGGATTGCGATACATATACCCAACATGTCTCATTTAGTAACACAGCATAACATTTGTATTCCTTTTAATTTTAAGTTTGAGTTTTCCAACAGCGCTGGTTTGGTGTGTGGTGCATGTGGACAGCTGAGGGAGTTTTACTTAAGCTTATTTTTAGATGTTGCTTAAAAAAAAAGAGGGCCGTTGTACCACCATTTTGGTAATATCTCTCAAAATTCAAAGCCCATGAGCATGCTAAGTGACACAAGGCACAAATTCAGAAATGGCAAAGTCCCTGGGCATGCTCATTGTAACAAGAAACATGTCTCAAATGGCTAAGTCGCTGGGCATGCTCAGTGTAAAAAGATATATGCCAGACATGTCGAAGTCCCTGAGCATGAGTACTGCAAAGGACAGTACAGATAGAAGTATATATACTGGCAAAAATATATGCTTCCAAAAATGTACTAGCATTCATTAACTGTGTTACAAAGAAAATGAATGTATTAGAAACACCGAAACACTGCTACCAAATGATTAATAATGGGAATTACAAGTTTATTGTGGAGATTTAACTTTGTTGCAAAATTTCAACAGTTACAATTGGGGAGGTATACGAGGACATATATTTAAGGCACAGTAATATATATTATCTAGATCTTCGAAATATAATATATCAAATTCATAACATTTTGAGCAAATATACAGAAATATAAATAAATGTCATGTAAAACCGTCACAGAAAATCATTATAAAGGATAAGAAACATAAATAGAATCAATAGAACTAAAGAGAACAAATTAGAATACATAAAGATATGCCTAGCTAAAAATAGTGCTGTTTCTGAAATTCAGTTGACTGTCTTGATTGCCCTCTTCAAGAGGACTCCACACAGAGATTTACTATAAGACACAGCCTAAAAGAAAAGCACGAGCGCTAGATAGCTAAATTTTGTTTTGCGCATGTGCATTTCTATCAGTGCATAGACGCTGTAAAGACGTCTATTTCTTGACAATCATGAAAAAACCTGCTTTTTACCCACTGAAATTTTTTTTTTAAGGAATATATTCTTTAAAATTAAGTTCAAATATTTGGGAAAATAAATATCAATGTGAACATGTTTCTATAGCGATTTTTCGTTCCTTTAGACGTGCTTCTAGGACATCTGCTTTTTTAGATGGATTCCTTTATTATGTCCATTAGTAAATTTACTTTCGCGTCTATTTGTTAGACGCTTTCTTTAGTAAATGTCTTTGCCGTCTAAAAGTAGATGGATTCCAATGAAGAGTAGACATTTAAGAGGCACCTAGATACCGTCTATGCACTTTAGTAAATCAGGGTCAATGAGTCTAAGGTTAAGAAAGGAACCGAATAGAAGCAATATGTGGCAATTAAATGAGACGCTTATACAGGACGCTGAGCTGAAGAGAATAAATAAGGAAATAGAGATATATTTTATAATTAATGAGAATGGAAGAAGTATCTATTGCAACACTCTGGGAAGTGCATAAGGCATATATTAGGGGAATCCTGATATCGATGGGAGCTAAAAAAAGAAAGAACGGGGAAAGAAAATAAGATTATTAACAGAGGAATTATTTGACTTAGAACAATTACATAAAAGGAAACTAGAAATAGAGATACAACAGATTACACAAAAGAGAGAAGCGTTGAAAGACCTAACGGAACAGGAAATGAAGAGTCTTCAATATGCTAGCAAAAGAAAGATACCAGTGGGGGCATAGACCAGGGAAATATTTAATGAGAAAGTTAAGGGAGAGGAAATTATATTGAGAAGACAATGGGGAAATGGTATTTTCTACCACTGATATCGCGAAAACATTTCAAAAGTATTACAGTAAATTATATGAAATAAAATCTAGGAATCCGAAAGGACAAGAGAAAGAAAGAAAAAAAATAAGACAGATATATTTGAAGGAGGCTAGGTTACCCAGAATAGAAGAAGAAAGATTAAAAGCCCTAGATAAATTAATAACGCAGGAAGAAATTTATGCCGTATTAAGGAGTACATCTGCAGGAAAAAGCCCCGGCCCAGACTGATTTATGTTGAGATACTATAGGAAATTTAATCACTAGCCTACAGGGCACTTATACTCCCTTCCTGCCCAGGCCAATTTCTAGCTTTCAGCGCTATCACACTTTGAATGACAATTGCGCGGTCATGCAACATTGTACCCATATGAAATTTTTATCATTTTTTGTGACAGATAGAGCTTTATTTTGGTGGTATTTAATCAACTCTTAAACAAACCAAAAACCACTGAAAATTTTGAAAAAAAAAAAGCTTTTTCTTAGTTTTTGTTATAACATTTTGTAAATAAGTGATTTTTCTCCTTCACTGATGTGCGCTAATGAGGCTGTAGTGATGGGCACTGATGGACACTGATAGGTGGCACTGATGGACACTGATGAGGAGGCACTGGTAGGTGGCACTTGGCACATGGGCATTGACAGGCATCACTGATGGGCACTGAAAGGCAGCACTCATATGGCACTGTTAGGTGGCACTGATAGGCAGCACTGACGGGCACTGATTGGCAGCACTGATAGGTGGCACTGACTGGCATTGATAGGTGACACTGAAAGGCAGCTCAGATGGGCACTGATATGTGGCATTAATGTGCACTGGTGGCACTGAAATGTGGCACTGATGGGCACTGGCAGGTGGCATGGATGAGCACTGACAGCTGACACTGGTGGACACTGACAGGTGGCACTGCTGGGGCTACACAGATCATCAGTGCCCTGATGATCAGTGTAGATGTCCCCTCCGAGGATTGCCGAATACTGGCTCTCCTCTCCTCACGAGCTGTCAGCGTGACAGCTCTTGAGGAGAGAAATGCCGATAACCGGCATTTTCCTGTTTACAAGTGATCAGCTGTGATTGGACACAGCTGATCACATGACCGAGCCGAAATCTTCGGCTCTTTCCGTTGATCGGTGATTTGCCACGCTGTGCACTCCCGGAGCCGCACATGCGTGGTTAGAATGGGAGGATGTCCCAGAGCGAGAGAACCGCCCTGCGCCCGTCATTGTACTATATGGCGGGCGGGAGGCGGTTAAAGAACAGTTGGTCCCTAAGATGTGTACGTATATGAACACATTAGGAGAAGGGATGGAAATGAGAGAAAAGTCACTACAGACTTATATTACAATAATACCGAACGAGGGGAAAGATCTGTCCCAGTGCGCAACTATAGACCCATATTGTTATTAAATATAGATACAAAATTACAGTGGATATACAAAGTCTACACACCCCTGTTAAAATGCCAGGTTTCTGTGATGTAAAAAAAAATGAGACAAAGATAAATCATTTTAGAACTTTTTCCACCTTTAATGTGACCTATAAAGTGTACAACTCAATTGAAAAACAAACTGAAATTTTTTAGGGAGAGAAGTAAACATAAAAAAAAACGAAAATAATGTGGTTGCATAAGTGTGCACACCCTCTTATAACTGGGGATGTAGCTGTGTTCAGAATTAAGCAATCACATTCAAAATCCTGTTAAAAAGGAGTCAGTACACACCTGCCATCATTTATAGCGCCTCTGATTAACCCCAAATAAAGTTCAGCTGTTCTAGTAGGTCTTTCCTGACATTTTGTTAGTTGCATCCTACAGCAAAAGCCATGGTCCGCAGAGAGCTTTGAAAGCATCAGAGGGATCTCATTGTTAAAAGATATCAGTCAGGAGAAGGGTACAAAAGAATTTCCAAGGCATTAGATATACAGTACCATGGAACACAAGTGAAGGCAGTCATCAAGTGGAGAAAACATGGCACAACAGTGACATTACCAAGAACTGGACGTCCCTCCAAAATTGATGAAAAGACGAGAAGAAAACTGGTCTGGGGGGCTGCCAAAAGACTTAGGCAACATTAAAGGAGCTGCCAGAATATTTGGCAAGTACTGACTGTGTGGTACATGTGACAACAATCTCTCGTATTCTTCATATGTCTGGGCTATGGGGTAGAGTGGCAAGACGGAAGCCTTTTCTTACGAAGAAAAATATCCAAGCCCGGCTAAATTTTGCAAAACACATCGGAAGTCTCCCAAAAGCATGTGGGAAAATGTGTTCTGGTCTGATGAAACCAAGGTTGAACTTTTTGGCCATAATTACAGAAGATATGTTTGGCACAAAAACAACACTGCACATCACCAAAAGAACACCATACCCACAGAGAAGCATGGTGGTGGCAGCATCATGCTTTGGGGCTGTTTTTCTTCAGCTAGAACTGAGGCCTTAGTCAAGGTAGAGGGAATTATGAACAGTTCCAAATACCAGTCAATATTGGCAGAGGGGTGGCGGTGGACGTAGTATACTTGGATTTTGCAACAGTGTTTGACACAGTTCCCCACACACGGCTAATGTGTAAGGTAATGTCTACAGGCTTGGAAAAATCTGTATGTAAATGGATAGAAAACTGGCTAAAAGATCTTATTCAAAGAGTAGTGGTTAATGATTCATACTCTGAATAGTCTAGGTTGTCAGTGGTGTACTCCAAGGTTCAGTGTTGGGACTTTTACTTTTTAATATATTTATAAACAATATAGGGTCTGGGATTAAAAATACAATTTCACCCCTGGTTCACGTACAGTTGTGTTCAAAATAATAGCAGTGTGTTGAAAAAAGTGAATAAAGCTCAAAATCCTTCTAATAGCTTTTATTTCCATGCACACAAATGCATTGGGAACACTACACATTCTATTCCAAATCAAAACATTAATATCACGTACCTGGTGATGGAGGTGGGATAGCCGAGGTCATACACGGAGGAGTGAGAGAGAGAGTATCCTTTAGCCAAGCCGAGGTCAGATCAGGGGGTCAGTAGAGCAGACAAGTACAAGTACAAGCCGAGTCGGAATCAGGAAGTCACAGGAAACAGGAACAAACCACGGGGAACTAGAGATCATCCAGCAACCAGAGGAAGTGATGAGTCTCCTTATAAAGGCAGTCTGGCACCAGACTGAGGCTGATGTGTCCTTCTGTGGCCATGTAGATTATTGGCAGAAACGGCAGAACTCCTGCTGTGGACAGGACCCTGACAGTGCCCACCCTAAAGGGCAGCCTCCGGATGCCCACCTGGGCCATCTTTTCAGGATACTTGGAATTAAACTCCTGGAGAAGCCTGGGGGAATGTATATTCCCTTTTGGTTCCCAGGAACTTTCTTCAAGTGGATACCCCTTCCATCTGACCAGGTACTGGATCTGCTCTCCCTGCCTTCTGCAGTCCTGAATTGCTTCAACCTCATATTCCGTCTCCTCCCCATCTGTTATCGGCGGAGGTGGTTCTACTCTCCCTGGAAAAGGATCAGGAACAGCTGGCTTAAGTAGGGAGACGTGGAAAACAGGGTGGATCTTGTATGATTCCGGAAGAGAGGAAGAGACAGCTCAAATGCCACTGGATTTATTTCCCTCTTGATCTGGAAAGGGCCAATGTACCTAGGACCCAACTTACGTGATGGGCACGGGAGTTTTAGATTGGCAGTTGATAGCCAAACCTTGTCTCCAATCTTCAGAGGAGGGTTTCCTCTCCGTTTCCTGTCGTAGTGTTTCTTATAATCAGCCTGGGATTTCAGTATAGATTCTCGGAGGACTTTACAGTTATTCTGTAGCATGGAGAGTCTGTCCTATACTGCAGGTACTGAAGCTTTGGGAATGGTGTCAGGTATGGAGGAAGGGTGGAATCCATAATTAGCCCAAAATGGCGACTGGTTTGTGGCAGAATGGACTGATTGTAGGCAAATTCTGCCAATGGGAGTAGAGATGCCCAATCATCCTGAGAAAAGGCAGAGAAGCACCGTAAATATTGCTACAAAGTCTTGTTTGGTCGCTCCGTTTGCCCGTTACTCTGAACTCTGGAGATGGTAGGCAGATGATTAGCACCTTCAGGGCTTTGCAGAGGGCTCTCCAGAACCTGGACGTAAACTGCACCCCTCGGTCTGAGACGATATTACTGGGCAGACCATGTAACCTGACAATCTCTTTGATGAAGGTTAGTGCAGTCTCTGGTGCTGATGGCGTACCCACCTTTGGTAAAAAGTGGGCCATCTTGGATAGCCGATCCACTACTACCAGAATGGTAGTAAACCCCTCTGAGGGCGGTAAATCCACAATGAAGTCCATTGCGACCATCTCCCAGGGTCAATCAGGAATGGGCAGGGGCCTCAGCAACCCCCCGGCCTTGGCTTTGTCTCCCTTGTTCAGTAGACACACTGTGCACGACTTCACATAAGCTCTACAGTCATGATTCAGGTTAGGCCACCAGAAGGATCGCTGGATTAGTTCCAATGTCTTACGGGCTCCAAAGTGTCCAGCCAGTTGATGGTCATGAAGAGCCCTTAACACTTGAGACCTCACTTCTTGGGGTACAATGATTTTCCCTTGTGCCACAGAAGACCATCCTGCCTTCTAAGCGGATTTTGTTCAGGTTCAGGGCATAGTGCAGAGGCCTGCTTGATCAAAGACTTTAGGCTGGGTTGGATCAGCAAGAAATTTTTGGCCAACAAAATGGTGTTGGGGGGAGAAGGCTCCTCTGGGTCCGGGAACATGCGGGAAAGGGCATCTGCCTTCCCGTTCTTGGATCCTGGGCGGTAGGTTGTGAAAGTTAAACCTGGAGAAGTATAAAGCCCATCTAGCCTGTCGAGGTCTTAGGCGCTTGGCGGACCTTAGATACTCCAGATTTTTGTGATCTGTGAAAATCATAATTGGGTGGCCAGCTCCTTCCAAGAGATACTTCCATTCCTCGAAGGCTATTGGGTGAAGCAGAGCCTTTGGGCCCTGATGCTGGGAGAGCACGGCTCCTGTAGCAACTTCACATGCGTCTACCTCCAGGATGAAGGGGAGTGTTGGATCTGGATGCTGTAACACAGGAGCTGAGGTGAATTGGTCTTTTAATTGCTCGAACGCTCTTTGAGCTTCCTGGCTCCAGCAAAATCGTGTATGCTGGCGGGTGAGTTGAGTGATTGGGGCAATGATGGTGGAAATTTCTGGTAAAAGGTAGCAAAACCCACAAATCTTTGGACCCCTTTCCTGTCTGCAGGTGCAGACCAATCCAGGATAGCAGATACTTTCTGAGGGTCCATGGAGATCCCCCCAGTGGAAATTATGAGCCCTAGGAACTGGATGGACTGCTTCTCAAACTCACACTTCTCCGCCTTGGCATACGAGCCATGCATCCTTAGAGTGTTTAGCACCTTCCTAATGTGATCCCGATGGAGTTACAGTGAAGTAGAGAAGATTAGGATATCGTCCAGGTAGAAGATCACGAAAAGGTCTAAGTATTCTCTAAAGATGTCGTTCACAAAATGTTGGAACGTAGCAGGGGCATTACATAGCCCAAACGGCATCACTAAATATTCAAAATGTCCGAAGCGTGTCCTGAAGGCGGTCTTCCACTCATCGCCCTGTCTTATATGGACTAAATTGTAGGCCCCCGTAAGTCCAATTTAGTGAAGACTCGGGCCGTCCGGATTCTCTGGAATAACTCAGGCACCAGAGGAAGCGGATACTGGTTTTTGATGGGGATTTTATTAAGTTCCCTGTAGTCAATGCATGATCTAAGAGATCGATCTTTTTTTCCCACAAAGAAGATACCAGCCCCGGCAGGAGAGGAAGAGGGGCGGATGAATCCTTTGGTGAGATTCTCGTCTAGATAGTGCCGGAGGGCTTCCAGTTCAAGTTCGGATAAAGGGAAAATTCGCCAAATTCTCCTGGGAGTAACTCAATTGGGCAATCATAAGGCTGATGAGAAGGC